GAGAGAGAGGAGAGAGATGATCCAAACTCTTTATTTTGTAATAACTGTACCAAATTTGTTTTGTTCCTTATATTAGTAAAATAGTATGTATTATCTAAGCCAGAAAATATCTTAACCTCTGCTAGGACATGACTTGCTACCTGGTGTAGATGATTCTACATGGGTATGTTTTGGATGATTCTAAGTCTCTTAGAATATTTATGTTTCCCCTTAGCCTTCTGGTGATACCTTCTTTTAGCTATGAGCTGCTTAGCTTCTTTTGTCCTTTGGTCAGTGATGGCAAACCTTTTGGAGTTTTCAGTGATGCAAATAGGTCCCTGTAGTACATGTGCCTTAGGCTTACCAGCACCATTCTAGCACATTGAAAACATCTAGCTTTTCAGTTATAGTATTTCATAGTTGTAGTAGCGTTTCTGAAGCACTCACTATATCAAAGAGTAATGAATTTAATTTAGTGGGATGCAACGAAGTTTTTTTGTTTGTTTTTAAAAAATGGGGATTGGGGAGATAGCTCAGTAGAATAAGTACTTGTGTGGCAAGCGCAAGGGCCTGAGTTCAATCCCCGGTTCTGCCAAAAAATAAATAAATAAATAAAATTAAAATGGCATAAATCAAGGGGCAATTGTTAGTGCAAATCCATCATAGAAAGGGTAAATACTGTTTTGTGAAGCCTTTGATTTCAGTTTGCATGTCTGTTTATCTTTCTGTCTCCCACTATCATCCTGTAGTTAAGTATTGGATAATATGTATTTCCTCCCTTGGCTACAACAGGAAGAATTTAGCAAGTGGAACACTTGAAGCTCTTTGAAAATAAGCATATGTTAAAAAAAAAAATTAAAAAAAAGAAAAAAGAAAAAAAAAAAGAAAATAAGCATATGTTGAATAATATGGTAGAATTCTATATCAGAATTCAAATAGAGGGGCTGGTGAGATGACTCAGTGGTCTAAAGCACCTACTTAGAACAAGCTTAGCAAAGCACTGGGACTGCGGTTCAATCCCCCAGCACCACTTGCCAGCCAGCCCCGCCCCCTGGTGGGCTGAGCTGGCCACACACACACACATAAATAAAATTAAAAAAAAAATTCAAATAGAATGTTTGGTAATTGCTATTATTTGGTAATTGCTATTATTTATCCTCACTTTATTTCTAGTCAGAGATTGCTTTTGGTAATACTATGCATATTGAAATAGTTCAACTATCAAAGCGTAACTTTTGAAGAGGAAAAGTCAAAATTTCTGATTTTTGAATTTAATATTTCTAATTATGAAGTTCAAAGTACTTTATATATTCTTCCCCTATGGCATTCTTATGAGTTTTAGTACTTCATTTAAAATTAAATGACTGGGGCTGGTTAGATGGCTCAGTGGTCTAAAGCACCTACTTAGAACAAGCTTAGCAAAGCACAAGGACCGCGGTTCAATTCCCCAACACCACATGCCAGCCAGCCCCGCCCCCTGGGGGGCTGAGCTGGCCACACACACACACACACACACACACACACACAAATAAAAAAAAAATAAAAAACATTAAATGACTGGGCTGGTGAGATCGCTCAGTGGTCTAAAGCACCTACTTAGAACAAGCTTAGCAAAGCACAGGGGACCGCGGTTCAATCCCCCAGCACCACATGCCAGCCAGCCCCGCCCCCTGGTGGGCTGAGCTGGCCACACACACACAGACACACACAAATAAATAAAATTTAAAAAAAATAAATTAAATTAAATTAAATGACCTAGGGCCGGCCAAATTGCTCAGCCGAATGAAGCACCTGCAAGCAGGCACAGGGCCCAGGGGACCCCCTTCCTGCCAGCCGCACCCCTGGGACATGCAGAGATGCCAGTTGAGACTGGGTGAGGTGGGCGCACCTGTAATCCCAGCCCTTGGGAGGCTGTAAACAAGCGAATCACTATGAGTCTGATCTAGTAGTGAGAGCCTGAACACCCTGTAGACCCTTCTCTAAAAAATAAAATAAATAAAATTAAATGGCTCAAAAAAATTAGATGTTTTAATTTTAGCAGATTAAACATAGATCTTGTTGAGAGTTTCTATTTTGCTTCCTAATGAAATTATGGATTGATTACAGGTGTAATTATTGAAACGGATATAATTGATTCAGATCTCATGAAGAACTCAGAACCAGAGACACAGTCCAGCATGCCTGATGTACCATATGAACCAGATTTGGATATTGAAATAGATTTTCCTAGAGGTACTCATAATGTGACTTTATGATTGTTGAATTATGTTGTGGAGCCTTAATTGTAGTTATGATCATTAACCATTTAATGTTTATATCTACTTACAGTATTTCATATGCTTTGTCTTTTTTATTTCCTCCTGCAGTGCTGGAATGTGTTCTATAATTGAGCTACTTTGAGTTTAAGAAAACAAAAAAACTTTCTGAAAGTAATTCATTATGAAAAGTTGAAGATAGAAAAACCTAAATGTGTCTTTTATTTAAAAATATTGATAGCATTTTTCTTAGGGCATTTGGAAATTAAGTTCACTTTCAAGGGGGATATTTTCACATTTTCTATAAGAAATGTTACTTTTAAAATTAGTTTTTGAGTCTGCAAGTGGATGTCAAATACTTGAGTAGAATGTTAAATGTTTTTGGAAGACAGATTTGTACAAGAACCCTTTAGATCTTATAACTGAGTTTCAGCATGTAGTACTTTTTCTGGAACACATTTCCATGAAAATTCCATGTTTATAATTGCTGATGCAGTTTTTTTGGAGTCTGAATAGGGTTTATCAGAACTCAGGCCATTTTGGGCACAGCATGTCATGCACTTCCCAGATTGGCTCAGGTTATCCTCATATAAATGCTTGTTCATATTCTGTGGTTATTGTTTTTTGACTTCCTTATGTAATGTAAGTCTGTGCTATTACACTTGAAATAAGAGTTTTCTTGATTTGTCAGCTGCTGAAGAGCTTGATATGGAAAATGAATTTTTATTACCACCTGTGTTTGGAGAAGAATATGAAGAACAACCCAGACCTCGATCTAAAAAAAAGGTACAAAGTTTAATAGGTTTCTTTGTTTGTTTGTTTTTGTTTTAATATATTTGGTACAGGGTCTCACTACACAGCTCAGACTCATAGTGATCCTCCTGTTTTCAGCCTTCTTATCATTGGGATTACAAGCATGTGCCACCATGCCTGGTCTCCATGGCTGGCTCGTCATGCCCAGAAGTAGTGCCTGTGCAGCATGTGGTGCTAGCGATTGAACCCCAGTCTCTGTGCTTCTGTGCTTGCCTAAGTCCATTGAGCTATCTCATGGGCCCTAATAATATTCTTTTCTTTCTTTCTTTCTTTTTTTTTTTTTTGTGTATTTAGTACTGGGTCTCACTACACAGATGAGGCTCATAGTGATCCTCCTGTTTTCAGCCTTCTAACCACTGGGATTACAGGCACACACATGCCCAGTCTCGGTCCCCATTTGAGTGTGCCCTGGGGACGGGGCCAGCATGGCATTCTAGGGATTGAACCTCGGCCAGTGTGCTCTGTCTGCCTAAGCAGGCTCCTAATAGTATTCTTGCATTCATTTAATATCTGTTTATAGCAGTCTCCACATATAACACAGAGAATGTACTGGTCATTTGGTATGCTTGATATTATGAGAAGTTAAGTGTGTTTTTTAAAAATGCTACAGAATTTCCAATTAATAAAAATGGCTTAGACATAGTCGTTACATTTTAGAAGGGTAAATATTATATTACCTTTCACTGTTTTGTTTTGTTAAGACAGGGTCTCACTGTGTAGTTCAGGCTGGCTGATTCTCCTTCCTTGGCTTCCCAAATGCTGGGATTACAATAATGTACCACTACACCTGTCTGTCTTTTAGTTTTTCTTTTTTCTTTTTTTTTTTTTGCAGAACAGGGGATTGAACTCAGGCCTTTGTGTTTGCCAGGCAAACGCTTATTCCACTGAGCCATCTCCTCAGCCCTGTCTTTTAGTTTTTCTTTTAAAATTTATCATTATGAAAGGGTAAAAGTGGAAATAAGTTGCTGGAAAAGTAAAGTTGTTTGATAAAGGAAAGATATTTACTAGGAATCTATTTTTTTCATAGTTGTTTTTCATTAGATTGACCACCTAAGATGAGGTGCAGTTTATTAAGCATGCCGACATACTAAAGTACATCTGACAGTTTGAACACTCAGATGAACAAAATTTATTTATTAACAGGTATAATTATTTTAATGTTCTATTAGCAGTCTAGATCAAAATCAGAAGACACCATGAGAGAGTCAAACCTTTCAAAATTTCCCCATGAGAAAAAATGTTTTTCAAATAATTAAAAAATGCTTACTTTCAACTGAGCCATCTCCCTGGCCCCCAAAAAATTCTTACTTTCAATAAAAAAATTTTTTTCTTGAAGTGTTTGTGAAGGGAAGGTGAAATCTTATTTGATACATATATTAATTAACTCCAAATGGGTCATAGACTCAATTGTAAAAGTAAGAATATAAAACCATTAAGAAAGGCCTAGGGTCCAGAGAGGTAGCTCAGTGGAATAAAGGTCTGAGTTTGATCCCTGGTACCACCAAAGAAAACAAAGGCCTAAACCTTCATGACCTTCTGATAGATGTTTTGATAAACACTAAAAGCATAAAGAATAAATTGTAAAAAGGATAAATTGGACTGATAAATTCACTGCATTACCAGCAGTACCATCAAAAAGATAAAAGGAGGAGAATGGGATGCAGTGGTAGAACATTTGTCTAGCATACGAGAGGCCTGGTTTGATCTCCAACCTTGTTTGAAAAAGAATGCTGTAAAAAAAAAAAAGAAAGAAAAAGAATGCTGTAAACCAGGTGTGGTAGTGCACGTATGTAATCCCAGTTCTTCAGAGGCTGAGGTAGGAGAATCTTTACAAGTTTGAGAGCAGCTTGGACTACGAGCTCAAGGCCAGCCTAAACTGCATAGTGAGACCTTGTCTCAAAAAGACCCCCTCCCCCCCCAAAAAAAAAAGAAAGAAAGAAAAGGTGAATTTGCTTTTGTTGAGAGATGACTTAAAGTCATAAAATACTTTAAAAAAAAAAAAGAAAAGTCATAAAATAATGTAGGTTTAATAAGGATTTACAATGGTGTTTCACTAATATAGGGAGCCAAGAGAAAAGCTGTATCAGGATACCAGTCTCATGATGATAGTTCTGACAACTCAGAATGCAGCTTTCCTTTCAAATACACATACGGTGTAAATGCATGGAAACACTGGGTCAAAACAAGGCAACTTGATGAAGATCTCTTGGTATTAGACGAACTAAAATCTCGTAAGTGTTTTTATTTTTCCTGAATCTCATTGAAAACGAAGGTTTCTTACCTGTTGCTGCCTTTAGTTACAAAATGCTAAGTGTGGCTTGACATAGTTTTAATTGCATTTTATTTTAGTTCAAAATTCTTAGAACCACTTCCCCAATATGATTATAAAGATGTGTATACTAATAAAATTAAAAATATCAAAATTCTTAGAGTAAATCAGTATGAAGAATTTCTTTTTTGTTGTTGTTGTTTGGCAGAACCAGGAATTGAACTCAGGCCCTTGCGCTTGCTAGGGAAGCATTTTTTCTACTAAGCCATTTCCCTGGTCCCGAATTTCTTAACCTTAAGTAATATGCAGGTTTAATAGCAATTACTGATTTTTAGTTTATATATTTTTTTAGCTAAATCAGTAAAGTTAAAAGAAGATCTACTGTCTCACACCACATCAGAACTTAACTACGGGTTAGCGCATTTTGTCAATGAGATCCGACGACCAAATGGAGAAAATTACGCACCTGATAGCATCTATTATCTTTGCCTTGGAATACAGGAGGTTAGTAATTTGTTGACTGCTTTCAAATACAACATTATTAAAAGCTCATGTGGTAGTGCTTGGAGAGAAAAATGTACATCCACTGGCTGGCTTACTAGGAAAGACAAAAACTTAAATCTATTTAGAAATACCACGGTATTATAGAAGGTTTTCTTAGTGACTATAACATAGTACATGTATTCTTAAAGCCTCAAGTTCTTCAAGACAGAGCATTAAAACCAAAAAGAATTTGTGGGGAAAATAAATAAGGTATGGGCAAGCTACTCAGAACCCATGCATCTTTTGTACCCAGTATAAAACAGTTGTATTTTTACCACCATATATAAATGATAATTACGATGACATTTCTTCCTTACCCGTGTGCAAATAAATTAATTCACATTATGGAGCATATTGTGTAGCCAGATCTGACTGTTGACCTGCATTGACCTGCATTTGCACAGAGAAATGTCTTATCTTTGTGTATAGAAGTTCTGTTTCACTTTGTGTATCTGATGTTTTTTAAATTGTTAAATTACATAACTGCTTACTAACTTTGGGGCATCATGTCCTAAACACAGATCATTCTTGGGGCTTAGGTAAACTTCATCCACATGTCTATGAATCTAAGTGTTTTCCACAGTAAACATGAAGATCAAGGTTAAAAAGGAGATGTAATTCTCAACACATTCTACAGGTTTAGCCCAGAGTTCAGAAGGGATCGTTAGCTTCAAATCTGTTGTATTTTAAAATGTGGTAATGGAAGGGAGAGTTCTTAACTGTTTTGTTTATAGACCTAAAATGTAATGTTATGGTACTAACATGTATTAGATACTGAAATAAATTAGTGGAAAAAAACCTATAATTATTTCAGTTTGTTATTTTACTTGCATTTTAATTAGGATAGATAAAATTGCTTAAGATTATGTAAGTGTGACTGAAACAGTAGTATCTGGCTGTAAATTATTTTATATTTAAGGGCTATCACATATTTCAGTAGCTATCTAAAAGAAATATATTAGATTTTATTTTCCTTTGATAGGTTTATATACATATGGAGCCACTTGCTTTAGTGATGTACTTGGGTGCTGTCCTTCATAGTCTGCCACTATTTACAGTTCAGTATGTTTCTTAATGTACTAATGTTTCCTCACAGAAATTTATTTATTGCTGAGCTGTATGCACAAAAATGATTGAAGGGGCCAGGGAGATGGCTCAGTGGAATAAGCACTTGCCTGGCAAGCACAAGGGCCTGAGTTCAATCCCTAGTTCTGCTAAAAAAAACAAACAAAAAAGATTGAGAGCCAGTTTTTGTTTCTTGTGGGGAGGTTGTGCACAGAAATGATTGAAATGACAAATTTTATTTTATTTTTTAAATTTTATTTGTGTGTGTGTGTGTGTGTGTGTGTGTGTGACCAACTCAGCCCACCAGGGAGCGGGGCTGGCTGGCATGTGGTGCTGGGGGATTGAACTGCGGTCCCTGTGCTTTGCTAAGCTTGTTCTAAGTAGGTGCTTTAGACCACTGAGCCATCTTACCAGCCAGACAAATTTTATTTTATATATTGACCAAAGTTTAAAAAATTGTGCACTATGTTTTGCTCTGACACATTTGTACCTACTTGATTTATTTGCACATATGGTGTTTACAAAGCAGCTTTAACCCATTTATGCTGAATATTGCAGTTTTTAAAAATTTTGTATGAAATTCAAATATGTAACCTAGAAAAATTCAAGGAACAAGAATTTGAAGAGACAACAGTTAACCACTAGGAAGAATGCATGCAATGTGTTAATTCTTGAAACTGTCCTATCAATTTGGTTTAAAACTGTCTCATTGCTATTTGTTTCTCAATAAAAAAAGAGAGAAAAAAAAGAATTTGAAGAGAAAAAATTATATTGTGTTCTATTATTGCAGGTGTTAAAAAAATGGGTCAGTAAGCACTAAAGGGTTAAAATCATGACTCAACATAAAATTGATACCTAAAATATACAAAAAGTCATGCTTTTTAATCTTATTTCAAGTATATATATAGAAACAGAAACTATAGAAGAGCCTTTTCTGGGGCTGGGGAGATGGCTCAGTAGAATAAGCGCTTGCCAGAAGGGTGTGAATTCAACCCCTGGTTCCACAGGAAAAAGAAAAAAAGGAAAGAAAAAATCTGATAAGGCAGCCAGGAAGGATGTGTCCCTTTTTCTTAGTTTTATTTTTTTTTTTTTTTTTTTTTTTTTTTTTGGGGGACCCGGGGTTAAAACCCGGAAGTTGGGTGGGGTTTTTTTGTTTTTTGGGGTTTTTTTTGTTAAATTTCTTCCATACTGGTGGTTTGCACTGAACTACATTCAAGCCCTTTTAAAATTATTTTTGAAACAGGATCTTGCTAAGTCGCTCAGGCTGGTCTTGAATTTGTGGTCCTCTTGTCTCAAACTCCAGAGTGCTGGGAAAAGAGGTGTACACTACCGTTCTAGACCTGATAAGTCTAGTAAAAGACATTTTTAGGTGTAATGACTGAGTCTGGTGCATGTATACAAGACTAAGAAGCTATTTCTTTAGGAATTGGTACTTTTGTTTCTGAAATAGGCTTACTAAAGAAGATACTGAATCATAAGAAAAATTCCTTTGTTTATTTGAGACAAGTTTCTCGATGTAGCTCAGGCCACCCTTGAATTTACTAATGTAGCCTGGGTTGGACTCAAGCTCATAGTGATCCTCCTCCCTCAGCCTCCCAGTTTTAGGATTAAAAGGCATGTGGCACCACACCATGATGTTGCTTTCATAAAAGTTGAAGATCTAATTTATTGCTTATTTACTTTTGTTTTTCTGTGAATTACTCTTTTGGTTTATTTTTAGGTTCAGATTTCTTTCTTTCTTTCTTTCTTTCTTTCTTTCTTTCTTTCTTTCTTTCTTTCTTTCTTTTTTTGGCAGAACCGGGGATTGAACTCAGGCCCTTACACTTGCTGGGGAAGGGCTTATTCTACTGAGCCATCTCCCCAGCCCTCTTTTTTAAAAACAGACCTCATGAGACTTGTTTTATATTTTTATGTTTTTTTGCAGAACTAGGGATTGAACTCAGGTCCTTTTGCTTGCCAGCAAGTGCTTATTCCACTGAGCTATCTCCCCGGCCCCTTGTTTTATATTTTTAAACAGTGATCAGATGGTTTTGCTAATCCTTCTTTGAGTGGTTAATTCTATAAACATTAGTTAAGTGTCTATTTACTGGGCCCTGGAATTTTTTATTTTTTTTATTTTTTTATTTTTTGGTGGAACCTGGGATTGAACTCAGGCCCTTGCACTTGCCAGGGAAGCGCTTATTCCACTGAGCCATCTCCCCAGCCCACCTGTATTTTTTTTTTTTTTTTTTTGTAAAGACTGCTTTATTGGTGACAATTAGTACAAGTCGATAAATATTGATCCCCAACGAAAAACTCAGTTAGTTATCATATTATTGATCCAGAGAGCCAACTGGAACCGAGCCACATAATTACTGAATTGCCTGAAATCATTCCGGCTTCTTGGGAAATGATGCCATAGCCAGCTGGTATATGGCATACACCATTCCACCCACTGTGAGAATCATAGTGGCTCTATACAAGAGGGCATCAGCTGCCCCACCCTTTAGATGCACTGGAATTCCATTGTCCTACTGAAAAAGCTTCTATTTCTGTGGAACTTTATTTTCAAAATGCCTGCATGCAGCAGTGCTGATGGTCCTCTGAGAAAGCTGTCGGAGAGCCAGCAGACTCCGCAGCATCTTGCCAGTTACAGCGCGCCAGCCGGAACACCCGACCACCAGGAACTCCGGGATTTTTTTTTTTTTTTTTTAAACTTCCTTTTTGTGTGTGTGTGTGTGTTTAGTATAGGGTCTACAGGGTCTTACTACACAGATCTGGCTCATAGTGATCCTCCTGTTTTCAGCCTCCTTGCCGCCACACCCAGTCTCAGTCACCCGGCTCAGCCCACCTTGGGGGCAGGGCCTGCACGGCTTGCCAGGGATCAAATCCCATTCCCTAGGTCTGCCTAAGCAGGTGCTTTAATCCACTAGCTGGCCTTGGACCCTGAGTATTGAACTGGGCTTTGGGGATTAAGCTAAGCTTATTGATAGTTTATTGTGTTTATTTACTGCTCATTGTTTCCATGCACTGCCTGAAGTGTTGGACATATTGTTTAATCTCTTTTAACAACTAATTATTTATTATTTGGTACAAGATCTCACTAGCAGCTCAGATTTTAGTGATCCTCAGGTGTGCGCCACCATGCCTAGTTTCAGTGGCCAGTTTGGCCCAGGGTCAGCATGGCATGCAGTACTGGGGAATCAAACTTGGATCCTTGCACTTGCCAGGCAGGTGCTTAGACTGCAGAGCTATCTCCCTGTCCTTAACAGCTATTATTATTACTTTTATATTTGTTTTCAAGACAAAGTCACTCTATGTGGTATAATATGGCCTTGAACTTGCTTATGTATCTCAGGCTGGCTTGGAACTCATGGTGATCCTTTTACCTCAGCTTCCTAAGTGTTGGGATTACAGGTGTGTGCTGTCATACCCAGCACTATTACCATTTCTTTGATGAGGGAGTAAAATAGCTTTCTAGTTGTATATATCATAGTTCATAAACTTGAATCCAGTAGCAATGATTATATAAGTAACTCAGAATTGGGACAAGTAAAATCTACCTGAATGTATAATATGAAAATATATAACAGTTTTTATTTTATTTTTTTATTATTTTTGTTTCTTTCCATAATTTTATTGAAAGACAACAAATCAAATTGGTATGACAGTTTCAATAATTAACACATTGTGTACTCTCTTCCTAGTGGATATTTGCTGTTACACCTTTTTTTTTTTTTTTTTTGGTGGAACCAGGGATTAAACTCAGGCCCTTGCGATTGCCAGGGAAGCATTTATTCCACTGAGCCATCTCCCCAGCCCCTGTTATAGCAGTTTTTAAATTGAGGTGTTATCTGTTGTGTTTGCCCACACACATACTCCAGGACCTTTGCACTGAAGTTACCTCAGGTCTTTTTATTTTGTGTTTGTTTTGTTTTGTTTTTTAAATTTAATTTTATTGAGAAACAAATAGCAATTTGTTTTATTTTTGAGACAGGGTCATACTACTTAGTTAAATTCACTGTATAGCCCAGCCTGACCTCCCAAGTGTGGAGAGTACAGGCATGCACCACCAAACCCAGCTATTTTGTGTTTTTTTGTTTTGTTTTGTTTTGTTTTGTTTCCAGAACCAGGGGTTGAACTCTGGCCCTTGTGCTTGTCAGGCAAGCGCTTATTCCACTGAGCTATCTCCCCAGCCCCCTATTTTATGTTTTTGAGACAGAATCTCCATGAGTTGCTGAATTGCCCATGGTGGTTCTGGAGCTTAAGATCTTCCTGCCTCAGTCTTGCAGAGTCCTGGGATTGTAGCATGTATAACAATGCCTGTCTTATAGTTGAGTTTTGGAGAAAATGTAGAAATTTACTAGATATAAAGGATGAAGGAAAAACAGTTCCTACTGGAAGAGAAATGTATACAATGGTACATTTTCTAAGGAACTGCTTATTATGGCTGAAATGCAGAAAAATGAAGTGGAATTTGGGGGTAAGAATACAGTAGATAGTCTTACCACAAACATTCCTTGATAAACGTTTAGTCTTCATCTTTTATCCAAAGGGCGGGACTAGCTGGCATGTGGTGCTGGGGATTGAACCGTGGTCCCTGTGCTTTGTTTAGCTTAGCTTGTGCTAAGTAGGTGCTTTAGACCACTGAGCCATCTCACCAGCCCCTCCACCACTCATTTCAGTATAACTGCATTTCATTTGTGTAAGGATAAAACCCGGAGCCTTAAGTACATTAAGCAGAAATTTTATCAACCGACTACTTCATCAGTCTAGCTTTTTAGTTGTTCTATTTAATTTTTTGTTTTATTATTATTTATCTTTTTTATGTATTTAGGACAGGGTCTACTGTCTCACTAGGTAGATCGGACTCATAGTGATTCTTCTGTTTTCAGCCTTTCAAGCACTGAGATTACAGACATGTGCCACCATGCCTAGTCTTAATCATTGTCTCAGTGGCCCTGGCAAGGGGACTGGCATGGCACTACTAGAATTGAACCCCAGCTGCTGTGCTCTGCCTAAGCAGGCACTTTAGTCTGCTGAGCTATCTAGCTGGCCCTTTTTTAGTTTTTGTTTCTTTTTGTTTTTTTTACGAATATCTATTGGTTTATTGAAAGGAACAGTTAATGTTTAATTGTTTCACCAATTTTGTGGGCCTATATCTGATAATCTGAACAACTACTTTGAAAATAACAATATATAATATGACAACTACTATTTAATTCCTATCATCTTGTTTTTGGAAATTTTGTATTATTTTTAGTATTTTTAAAATTATTCTTTATTCTGTTAGTTGTTTTAAAGATCACACTTAATACTTTCCCTGGTACATAGGCAGTCAGGGCTAGAACATTATGTAAATATAAATTCGGTAGAACTACTAATTTGTAGCTAAATGAATAATTTATTTTTGTTTTTAGTGAAGTTTTGTTCGTATAACATGTAATAAAACAGTTTATTATAGAGATTTATAAATGTTTTAAATATACTCAGTGGCCCTCAGATTGTTTTTATATTCCCAACATTTCATAATTATATATGAAATATAAATTTTCTCCTTTAATGTGTCTGAACATACTTTGTAAAACCATGATTTTCCAGCTGCCTATTAACCATATTTGGTAAGACTTTCATTGTTCCATTGTTCTTAAATACTAGTGTCATATCTCTATTTTATTTTATTTTTTTAAATATTTATTTATTTGTGTGTGTGTGTGTGTGTGGCCAGCTCAGCCCACCAGGGGGCGGGGCTGGCTGGCATGTGGTGCTGGGGGATTGAACCGTGGTCCCTGTGCTTTGCTAAGCTTGTTCTAAGTTGGTGCTTTAGACCACTGAGCCATCTCACCAGCCCTTAAATAGTTTTATATATATATATTTTTAAAATTTATTTGTGTGTGTGTGTGTGTGTGTGTGTGTGTGGCCAGATTAGCCCATGAGGGGGTGGGGCTGGCTGGCATGTGGTGCTGGGGGATTGAACCGTAGTCCCTGTGCTTTGCTAAGCTTGTTCTAAGTTGGTGCTTTAGACCACTGAGCCATCTCACCAGCCCTTAAATAGTTTTATCTACCAATTTTTTTCTTTTTTTGCGGAACCAGGGATTGAACTCAGGCCCTTGCGCTTGCCAGGGAAGTGCTTATTCCACTGCGCCATCTCCCTGGCCCCCCTATCTACCAGTTTTCTACTTTGTTCTGCAAACCATTTTTAATCTGTAAGAATCGGGGCCCTTGAAATAGGACTAGTCTTAAATGAGAAGTGTTCTAAGTAAGTAGGAAAAAAGCAAGATTTCACAAAACTCTTTTAATGTTAAAATAACAGTTTAGATATATTAAGAAAAACACAGGCGCTGGTGAGATGGCTCAGTGGTCTAAAGCACCTACTTAGAACTGGCTTAGCAAGCAAAGGGACCACAGTTCAATCCCCCAGCACCACATGTCAGCCAACCCCGCCCCCTGGTGGGCTGAGCTGGCCACACACACACACATAAATAAAATAAAATAAAAAAAATAATAATCTTAAAAAAAAAAAAGAAAAACACAATATTCCTGTTTCTATCCTATTTTTAAGAAGGGGCCATTAAAAGATTTTAAATTAGCTTATCTAGTTGGTCACAGAGGTATGTGCCTATAATTCCAGCCTCTTAGGAGGCTAAATCTCAAGTTTTAGGTCAGCATGGGCAATTTAATGAATCCCTGTTTCAAAAAGTTTTGGGGCTATGGCTCACTGGTAGATTGATTAACATGCTGAAGCTTCTGGATTCAATTTCTAGTTCTATACACCAAGAAAAGATGCTTACAAGGTTAAAGTAATTATATAAGTTAAAATATTCTGGTTTTTTGTTGTCTTTGTTTTCCTTTGTGTTTAGTTGGTACTAAGGGTCAACCCTGGCCTTTGCATGTACAAGGCAAGTGCTCTGCCACTAAGCTTACTTTGATTCCCAAGCTTTTATCAGTCAGTTGTCATCTTATTTGAAAACCACTTATATGTTTTTCTACTCTTTTGGAATTATGCCAGTCATTGTGCTGTCTGACTAATAAACATCAAGTTAGATAACACAGATGATGATGACATTGTAGTCTTTGGGTCATACATAAATGGGTTATATTTTTCCTTTTCTTTTTCATGTGTCTTTTAATTTAAAATAGGAGTTTTTGTGTAGTTTATTATTGGGTATTTTTTTTAATCCAATCTGATAAATCTCTATTTTAATTAGTATGTTTAGACCAAGGATGAAAAACTTTATAAATAAAGATCTGGCGGTAAGTGTTTCGGATTTACAGGCCATGGTTGTGTCCACAGCCACCATTCAAGTGTACCATTTTTAGCAACAAGGCATCCTGGGTCAGAGGCAGGAAGGGATCTGCATAAAGATAGCAGGAGTCTACAAATGAACCAGCATCTGTATTCCCAGAAAACTTTATAGGTAGAGCACTAGTTATACCTCAGAAATTCTACTTGAAGACCTTCGTTTGCAAAGATGAGAAACATTTTAGAGACTAGATGCCCAGACTGTTACCCAGAGCCCATATATTTATTGCAAAGTACCAACACTGCAATTAAACCTGAATACTGAGTTTAGAAGAAACAATTCATACACTTGGCGCATATGCCCACCACCACTGGTTTAGAGCTTTTATTTATTTATTTATTTATTTTATTTTTTTTTTGCAGAACCGGGGATTGAACTCAGATCCTTGAATTTGCCAGTCAAGTGCTTATCTTACTGAGCCACCTCCCCAGCCCTAGAGCTTTTATATTTAATGTACTCAGTGCTATCACTGAAATAGTCTGTCATTCTGCTGGTTTATGTTGTCACCTTTGGTTTTTTTATCTTTTAAAAATGTTTTTGTGATTTCCTTTATCTGTGCAATTACTTTATAATTTATATATCAAAAAAATTTTAATAGTTGTCCCAGAATTTACAGTATACATTTTTGACTACTCATTGCCTTCAGATAATGTTATGGCACTTTGCATGTAGTTACACCAGTATATTTCTAATTCTTACCTTCCCTTGTTTGTACTATTATTAATCCCTCAAGAGGTAAACTTTGCAAACTTTAGTGTTTATACATTTCTGTGACAAATCCTTACTATGAAGATTCAATGTTTATCTTAGTGAGTAAGAGTCATAAATTTGGACTGACCCATAGGAAGAGAGTAAAGCACTGGAGACAGTAAATTTACTCATTGTTTAAAATCTGTATTTTTCTCTATAAACTAATAAATACTAGAGTCAGATACTATTTTTTTTTTTTTAATCTAGCAGGCTACAGATTCTCATCCAGGTTTTACACTCTAGGCTGTGTAGTTCAGCTTTGAGTGTTTAAGCAGCAGATTAATTGACAATTTATGATTCTTTGTGATTCATAGGCCTATACAAGAAGCCATTAATATCTCATTTTGTCATTATGCTTGCTTTTCTTAGGCATAAAGCTTTATTTTTTTCCTAAGAAATATAAAGTATAATTTTTTCACTATAAGTAACTAGTTTTTCTTTAAGAAATTTTTTTTTCTTGTAGTATTTGTGTGGTAGTAACCGAAAGGACAACATATTTATTGATCCAGGATACCAGATGTTTGAGCAAGAATTGAATAAAATACTCAGAAGTTGGCAACCAAGCATTCTTCCAGATGGTAATGCTATTTTTAATAGTTTTGCTGTGTTGAAATTATTTTTTCAGAAAGTGTATTTGAAATAATTAGAAAGTAATTAAAATTAGCAGTTCTTTATAAGTATTAACTCAAGTGCTCATCTGTTCATTTCTTTTTGGACTAGAATATGGTCAACTAATCTTCATAATGAGTTTCATAAGACATATAGCTGACTTTCTCTAGAGTACAAAACTGGATGTTTATGTCTTAAGTCCTACAATGAAAATTATGTAACTTTCTCTTAAACCACTGTTCAGATGTATAAAGTATATAAATTATCTCCCCCGCCCCAGGAATTCAACAGGTTTAAATTAGTTTGTGACCGTTATCTGCTTGTCCTACTGAAGGATAGAAGCACACATCCAGTTCTTTATTCTAGAGATATTTTCATAGCCTGATATGTTTCTTAGCTTTTTTTTTTTTTAATTAAAGAGCCACATCAATAATTTTAAAATTTATCCCAGTTGACCTGATGCTGAACAGAGGACTGGTATATGTTTATTTTAAATTAATTATATTTTCTAGATGGTTAAATGAAAACTTTTTATAATTATTTTAAAGTAGTTCTCTCTGTTTAAGGGTCAATATTCTCTCGAGTTGAAGAAGACTATCTCTGGAGGATAAAACAACTAGGATCACACTCTCCAGTAGCTCTTTTGAATACCCTGTTCTACTTTAACACTAAATATTTTGGCCTGAAAACAGTGGAACAACACTTAAGACTTTCCTTTGGCACTGTGTTTAGGCATTGGAAAAAAAATCCTTTAACAATGGAAAACAAAGCGTGTCTTCGATACCAAATGTCTTCCTTATGTGGAACAGATAACGAGGGTAATGTACCAGACCAGATTTTATTTTGAGGTTTTTCTGTGATGGGGATATTCAAATCTTGCTTTGCTAAAGCCCACCTGTGTCACTTATGAAAAGCCTAGGAATGTTACTTTGCTAAAACAAGATAGTTATGTTTTGTAGTATCTGTTTCTCTTGTTTGAAAAATTGCTTTACTGGAAGCCAAGACTGAATTACAATGCTGAAGGGCACATAGTTCGATTTTGCTAAAACAGATGCTAGAAGTAAAAAATACTGGTTTTCTTTAAGATCAGTTTTAGGAGCTTTATTTAATCTTTATTTTTTAAGATAAAATTACTACTGGAAAAAGAAAACATGAAGATGATGAGCCAGTATTTGAACAAGTTGAAAACACGACCAACCCTTCTAGATGCCCTGTGAAAATGTTTGAATGTTACTTATCTAAAAGGTAAGCATTTAATGATGATTAACTTTTTCAAAAGGTGATATTACAGATTAAAGTGCCTGCCTAAGGCTCAGGGGCTGGGGTCCCATCCCCAGGCCTGCTATGCTAGCCCCGCCCCAGGGCCTGTTAGAGGTGATTGAGACTGTGCGTTGTGGTGCATGCCTGTAATCCTAGCACTTGGGAGGCTGTAAACAGAAGGAACACTGTGAGTCCGATCTATACAGTAAGACCCTATAGACCTTGTCCTAAATTAAAAAAACAAAAAGGTCATATAGATTGGTTGAATTTAATACTACCAATAAATGACATTTCTGCTGGATTCTTCAGATATCTTTATCTTTTTGCTTATTTCCAAGTTCGCTGTTTTAATTAACTTTTTAGTTTCTTTATGAAATACCCAGCTCATAAATCATACTTTAGGATTCGTGTTTTAAGAAATTACTCTCAAAAAAAAAAGAAAAAGAAATTACTCTCTACTAAAGAAATTATTGCGGCTCTTCCAATGATTATGCAAAGGAGGAGCACAAACTTTCTTATAAAGGGTCCTATAAATATTTGAGACTGTTGAGCGCTTCAGTCAATCCAAGACTACTCCATTCCACTGTTAGAGCTAGAAAAAAAACAGATACTGTGTATACATTTTTAGCACATGGCTATGTTGTAGTAAAACCTTACACAGACTGGTAGCTAACTGTCCTCTGCCAACTCTTGAAGAGGTATGATACAAGATGAGGGTGGAGATGAAGATGAGGAATATACATTTAAGAACTAAGTAAGCATTTCTTTAAATTTCATGTTAATATGAACACAGAATGAGGTCCTGAACTCCTTATGTAAACAACTTTATAAAATGTCAACTAGGTCCTAGGGATGATTTTTAAAAAATAAAAATGGAAATGTCATTAATAAGTTGGTAGAATTTCTGGCCATGGTATAAGGATAGCTCTGGGGGCCGGGGAGATAGCTCAGTGGAATAAGTACTTGACTGGCAAGCGCAAGGGCCTGAGTTCAATCCCCAGTTCTGAAAAAAAAAAAAAAGGATAGCTCTGTTTGGCTGTGACAGTCTTGGGGTCTTCCACTAGTAATGACTTTGTTAGGTGGAAATTCCTATCTCAGCTGTTTTGAGTATTTTATTTTTTCTCTTGAATAATGCTATAAGGATTTTTATTATATATATTACCATATTTCATCAATTCTAAAACAGTTTTTTACATTTCACTAACCCTTAAAGTGGGGGTGCATGTTTGAGTTGATAAATTTTCAAATTATTGTCACCATTAAAGTAATGGTTTTGTCTCTTAATGGAATCTTGCATTCAGTGAAATACAAAGTTTGAATTATAATTGAGAAATAATCTTTCGTAACAGAATAACTTTTAGAGTATTTTTAAGTCAAGATATTTAATGTAAACAATCAGGCAAGGTATCTAGCCACATAATGTGATTACTGTGCTTGAATTACTCTTAAAGGAAAATAGAGTTGTGGGAATTTTAAATGTGTTTCATGAAATTGACCTTCTCTTCTTTCCCTCAAAGTCCACAGAATCTTAATCAGAGAATGGATGTTTTTTATTTGCAACCAGAACGCTCTAGTTCTACAGATAGCCCTGTCTGGTACACATCTACTTCACTGGATCGAAACACCTTGGAAAATATGCTCGTACGGGTTCTTCTAGTAAAAGATATTTATGATAAAGACAATTATGAACTGGATGAAGACACAGACTAAAAAGAAACATTTCTGAAGCAGTCGGGATAAAACAGCATTAGATAGTCAAGCTGCTAGTTCTTTACTATGGAAAACATTTCAAGTTTACTCCTTCTGTTTTGAGTTTTGTAGCAGTGTACCCATACTGGGTATTACCTTGTAAATAATCTGTGAGTGAAAGTTGCCATTATTCTATGTAGTGGTTTTAGGATACTTAACAAAATACATTCAGATTCTTTTTTTATTATTATTTATTTGATTAGGTATGTTTGTAACTTTTTACATTACAAAATATGAATGAGAATGTGCCATGTATAATTTTTTTCTTATAGTCAGAAACATCCATATTGCACAACGCTATTGTTGCAAAGCTTCCTTAAGGGGGCGCTTTTACTGGGTCCTTGACCAGATGGTTGTATATGAGTAGCATTACTAAAAGTTTAGAACTTGCAGTGTCTTTCAGAATTTTTAAAATAAAATGTAAACTAATAGGTTGGGTTTTTGTTTTGTTTGGGGGGCTTTATTTTACATTTTAGTTACTGAAGCCTTACAAGGTTATGTAGAGAGATACCATCTTCTGTACCAAAAATAGACAAGAGAATGCTGTCAATATTGGTGTACTGTAATGTGAATCTATACTGGTGAAAACAACTTTTTGTTCCCATTATTAAAACCTTAGTTTCCTTTTCTCATTTGTGGCTTTCTGCATCATCCCAATCAATTATATAGATATCTAGATATATATGTAAAGAATAACTGTAAGATGAAAACAAGACATTTTTCTTTTTTAAAAATGTCTGATAAAAGTATAAGATCCTTTTTTCCTTTTCTATGTCAACTACAAGTATCTAGTTCCTTTCAATCCCCCCCACCCCACCCCACAGGATACAGATCATGCTGCACTATTACTTGCATAGTACTCTTAACTTTCACAAATGTTACTACAATTCTTGTGCCTGCTTCCAAATATGATTGGTGCATACATTGGGTAAAATTGTTAGAAATGCCACTCCTAAGATAGTTATTATAAGAAAATCATGCTACTATAAGTATGATAATATTGCATTTTACTATGAAAGTTACCAGTATAGTAATTCTGATTATTTCAGTTGATTGAAGAACAAAGAACAACTGATGGATAAAGTCTGTCTCAGAGAAAATCCCTGTTGATATTAGATTGGCTTTAAAATTTTACTTCTTATAGAAGATTGCATTTTTTAAAAAAATCCTTTGTACTGTACTTCTGCATAACAGCTTATCTATTGGGACCCTTTAGGATAAGGAAGTTTACTTACTACTTACTAAAAACTGAGTAAAGTGCTAGCTGCAAGTTACAAAGCATCTGGCTGGCTTTATATAGCATGTGTGTAATCACATTGTTTCCTCGTTTCTAAACCACGGTGATAATAGTCTAAAAATGATTTGGGGCTCGTTTTCCACAGTAGGTAGGCAATAGTCACACATTCCTTAAGTATTTCTCTCTAAGGAAAAAAATGTTAGCATAGTAAAGAAATTTTCTCAGTCATGATTTGGAAAATTTCACAGATTTAATCACTGTATATTTAAGCAATAATTGCCTGAAATGTTTTTGGCATAAGGAAATACTTTATAATGTTCTAACTTGTTTTATAAAGAAAAAATTTTTAGTCCCTTGATTTTGTATTTGTTGAGTGATAATCAGACTGACATTGACAAATCTGATGTAAGTTACTTTACTGAAATAAATTGCTGATTATTTAATGAAGAAAAGTGAGTAACACATTTAAAACACAGGCTACAAAAATTTTCTCAAACCTACGCTTTCCCAGAACTACTAATTTAAGTATTTTTTCTTATAAATGCAATTATTAATTAAAAGGTGGTTCATTTGAACCATCCTTTATTCTTCAAGTGGTGCTATATTCCATCAAGAGCAATAAATTTTTCCCAAATATCACTTGTATATTTGACCAAATACAAATTTCTGCCATGTATTTCTATTTGAGTACCATATCTTACTATTTATGTTTTCTTCATTTGTAAATTTTAGCTTTTTAAGCAGAAATATCTACATGGTCTTGACATGATAGAGGATTTAGAGCTCTTGTCTTTGTCTTCATTGCAATCCAGTGATAGATTAACTAAGTCTCAGGGGGAAAAGAAAAAAACCTATTTTATAAGAGTTGTTCTGTGAAACTAATTTCTTCTGGAATATGTTTCATTAATTCCTGGATTTCCTTAGTTTGTGTAGTTGTATGTGAATACTGAGGAAAAAGACAATGAAATGATAGCTTATTTTTGCTTCTTGGTGATTTCTGATTATAGATTAAGTCTTGTTAATATAACTTTTATGTCTTGAGATGTCTATTGAAGATGCTATATTTTTCTGTTCTGAAGGAGGATTCTGCCATTTAAATTCATTCAGTGGAAAAGGTGATTAGCCATATTATGGGAGGTAGATTTCCCATGGAAACTGAACCTTTACTAATGCATTTTTAAAGTGGTTTTTTGTTGTTGTTTTGGGGTTTGGTGGGGTTTTTTTGTTTGTTTGTTTGTTTGTTTGTTTTTGCTGTATTAGGTAATGTAAGGTATGAAAGGATTTTTTGAGGCAAAAAGCTCAGCCTTTTTTCCCCATAATAGTACTCTGAAGTAGTAATTCATTTTTTAATAGAGTTGCTACAGTATGTTAAACATTAAAATAGGAAGAGGGTGCATATTGTATCATGCATTTAAATTTATCACTTTTTCTAATGGCATTTCCTTTTGTCTTTTGGCCAATTATGATTTGCAAATAGGAAGTAACTATTTTTGATGTGTTATGAATTACAGTATTGGAGAAGTCAAGACAACTTCAGATTTTGATTTTACTCTAATCTGGTTCATTTAATCTGAGATCATAAATATCTTGCAGTCTTACATCAGTATAAACATGTGCTTTTTTTTTTTTTTTCTAGTTATTTCCAGAATGTGTTGTTACACATGTCACTTATGTTCTAAACTAACATTGACTGTAGGATAATCTTGTTCCCTTCAAACAAAATAATCATGAAGTGTACATGAAAGTATTTTTAAAGAATAAATTTCTATAAATTATACTTTTGGGTTCTCCCCCTTAATAAGCCCTTTACTTATTTTTGTAGATGATCATGAATTTCATTTATTCTGTTCTTTGTGTTCTTAGGATTAGACTAGTTTAAGTGTCATTTTCTAGTGTTGAAAAACTTTTGTGCTGCTGTTTCTGGGTATATCATACTAACAAAATATTACCAATTGAGAAGCTGATGTCCAGGACAGGATAGCTACATCATTCTAGCTGGAAGTAGAAACAACTACCATGGTATTTATTTTTTTGTTTTTGTTTTTGTGTTTTTTAAATCTTTACTTGAAAATTAGGTGTTAGAGGTACACCTCACTAAAATGTACCCTTACCATGTAATGAACTGGAAAAGAGGTTGTCCCTAAAATTGAAGCAAGTGATGTCCTAATTAAGTTCTCTTTTGAAAAAGAGAACAAAAGATTTAACTTGTAAGTAAAATATAAGTTGAGTATCCTTAATTAAGAAATCAAATCTATAGTGTTCTAAAATCTAAGCATTTAAGTGCTGACATGACACTCAGGGTTTTTGGAATTTTGGTTTTTGCATTAGGAATGTTCAGTCAATAAAGTCTATGCAAATATTTTTAGGTCCAAAACATTTCTGGTCATATGTACAGCTGAAGAGGGGCTTTGTGCATTGTTGATAGGTGATATTAATCCTGAATGTACTTTCTGTTACACTACAGGGACAAGAACAATTACTGCTCTTTTCAAGACTTTAAGGAGCCAGGGAGATAGCTCCGTAGAATAAGTGCTTGCCTGGTGAGCGAGGCCCTGAGTTAATCCCCAGTATTGCAAAAGGAAAAAAAAAAAAAGAGAGACTTTGAGTATTTTATTTTATCTGGGTTTCAACTTCTCTGTAAAATGTCAGCATTGCCATGACAGTAAACAGATTGATGTTTTAATCCTGATGATTTATTTAGAAACACATTTCCTTCATGAAGAGACAGATTTTTTTGAAAAGCCCTAATACTGAGAGCCATGATAAACCCTATTTTTAAAGTCCACCTTGGGTAGCTTAGAATTAATTCAGCACACAAAAACCAGTTATCATAAAACAGTCATGTTTGCTACGTGTTGCCTCAGTGTCAAAGAACTGCTACTTTCCATCATAGCTGGAGAAGAAAAAAGTACAAGATCAAGAAGATACTACTGTTCTACAACTGGGATGAGGGAAGTCAGATAAGAAAGAAGGGAAATACACACACACACACAGGATAGCATGGATAATTACTGATTTCTACTGGTCTGTTGAACAGTTAATGCTTATTTTTTCTTCATTTTAACTATGTTTTGACCAATTTTGCATGCTTATATCTGATAACCTGAACAACTAATTTGAAGACAATATGCAATAAAACAACCATTGCTGAATTCCTATTTAAAAAAAAATTATTGTTTCAAAACTTACCTTTTGGGGAGTGGGCAACATATACTGTACATTTAACTCCTAGAGAATAGACAAAAACTATGTTCATAATTGAAAATAGAGAATGTTGTAGACACTGTAGAAGTACTGGAGAAGGGTATTATGGCCTAGACTAGGTTTGGTTGGTTGGTTTTCTGGTACTAGGGATTGAACCCAGGGAGACTCTAAATGAGCTACCACCCCAGGCCTTTTGGGTTTTATTTTGAAATAAGGTCTTACTATCTCAAATAAGCTGTCCAGGCCAGTCTTGAATTTAACAAACCTTCTGCCCTAGCCTCCAAGGGTTCTGGGATTATAACTATGTACCACCGTGCCTGGTTTAAACTACCTTTTATAGAGAAGATTACCACTGCCTATAAGTATATAAAACAAGATTCCTATAACTGTCATTACTTTCAACTGTGTTAGAAATGGTTAGCAGGGGGCCGGGGAAATGGCTCAGTGGAATAAGCGCTTCCCTGGCAAGCACAAGAACCTGAGTTCCATCCCCAGTTCTGCCCTAAAAAAGAAATGGTTAGCAGTACAATTCCTGGTGATTTTGATGAGTTCTGTTTTGCTGGCTTCAGTCCTTATTTCTGGCTTGCAGCCTAAGTCTGTATAAGAGTGGTTAAAAATAGCACCCATTGGGCAGCTGGAGTGCCCTTACCATCCCTCGCAGATAGTTGATCAAGATGAGTGGTTTACCTTCTAGACTATGTGGAATGGGTGACACATACAAGGTTCACTGTCAGTAGTTAAAATAACTTCGCTAAGGGTTTTTAAAGTAGCGGTTACTTTTGAAAATGAACTATTGTTTTCTAAGCTATGGGCATGTAGCTCTTCACCCCATATGTATGGTGAAACTTTTTTTTTTTTTTTTAAATTTCTAAATTCTTGCTGTCATTTTCTTTTTCTTTTTTTTTTTTTTTTGGTGATATATTTGTAGTTCTAAATCCATGTCAACAGGTGGTAACAGCAGAACAGCACAAGGGTTGAAATGCTTCCATTTTCTTAATACTGAGTACGTCCTGTATACCTCTACCTGAAATCCTTGTCAGTCTTCTCCTTTTCAAAGGTAAAATATATGCTATGGATTACACAGAACCTTCGCTAGACCTTGAAACAACACCTTATATTCAGACTTTCTGCAGTTACCCATCAGACAAACTATCTGGAATACACTGCCTTATATAATCCAGGTCAGTTTTTGTCATAAATTGTAGAAATACTTAGGTTTTCAGAGTTTTTTAGATCTTAGAATTATTAAACTGTGTAAGAAAACTAGTGGGTCTCATGTAAAATATTTAGCAGTCCCCACCCCCTCTTTGTTGCTTCGTTTTGGCACAGGTTAACTAACTGAAAAGTTTTGTTTTTGTTTTTTCCTGTAAAACTTGTAGTTTAGATTTTAAGAAAAGGGACCAGAGATACAGCTCAGTGGCATAAGTGCCTGCCTGGCAAGCACAAGGTCCTGAGTTCAGTCCTTGGTAACACACACACACACACACACACACACACACACACACACACAAAGATTTTTAAGAAAAATGTGTGAGGGGCAAGGGAGATGCCTCAGTGGAATAAGTGTTTCCCTGGCAAGCGCAAGGGCCTGAGTTCAATCCCCGGTTCCACCAAAAAAACACAACCGCTTTTTACTTTGGCCATGCCTCAGTACTTACAGCAGTAGCATTACTCATAAAGGCATGACTTTATGAAGCACTGCAGTCATGTTGAGGAGATAGTCATTTGTTCATTCAACAAAAGGAGTGATTATACCTTTCCAGCCTGCTATTTTTTTTTTCCCCCATAGCCAGGGATTGAACTCAAAACCTTGCGCTTGCCAGGCAAGTGCTTATTCAACTGACCTACCTTCCCAGTCTCTGTTTCCAGGCTCTTGACCTGGGAACAGAATAGGTGTGAGACCCAGTTCCTCTTCATTTTGTAGTCTAGTTGAGGAAAGTAAGTATAGTAAGTCCCTGACTGAGGAGTGAGTTCTGTACTGGGTGAACATTCATAAATTGGATTCATTTGTACCCCAAAAAATGAGTGTTATATAGTACACATGTGAAAGTTGCAACTGGAATGGTGTAATTCAGGGACTTTATAGTGAAATGTCAAAATAAGATGTTCCTTATGGAGCACAATCACTTGCATAAGGAGCAATCAAAACTTAAGGTGCATGTTTAAAGTTTTAAAAAATTTACTTCAGTAAAAGACATTGCTGTCAATTTCTCAGAATACAGCCCCTTGATTCAAATAAACATGCCAGTGTTCTTGCCACTTTCTGAAACCGTTTTTGGAAGTCTGTGCCTTTACTATATGAATGCTCCTGTTGAGTGCCATCCAACAGGAAGGAAGAGTCACAGAAACTATTTGTCCTTCACTGAATCTGGCAATGTGTGACTTGGTTTTTTTCTGAAAATCAAAGTGATCATGAAAGGTAGATGTTTTGGATGGATTGAGTGCATTGAGGCAGCCATGATAACACACTCATGAAGAGGACTTCCAGAACTGCTTTGGAAAGTGGTACGAATGAGATACGGGCGTGGGGGAGTGTGGAGATTAATGGCTATATCTTACGGGCATTCATGTTTTAATGTAAAAGTTGTTTTAAAATCACATCTTGTAAAAATGCTCAAGAACTTTCAGAGCAACTGTCTCCTTACACCTGCTTCCCATTCTGCCAAAGGGAAGGTATCAACTATTTTTAAGATGCAGAAAGATGCAAATAGAAAAACAGCAGTGAACATTTGCAAGGGCAGAGGCTCTTGATCTGTTGAAGTTATTATTTAGTAGTTGTCCACTCAAGTTTTAGTTGACCACCTTGCTGCAAGAGCAGAACATGTTTCAGTAGAATGTAATGTGGGGAGTTTTTCTTTTCCCTACTCTGTGTTTCAAATACTTAGAAAAGTTTCTGGCACATTCTAGTTGTAAATAAGTACTTGCTGAGTGATCAATGATTATAAGTACCTTTTTAAGTTCAGTAATTTTGAAAATAAAGGACCCACTGGAAATAAGACGATGTATCAAGAAGTGCATACTTTGAGTTGTGCCTCTGAGCGCTTGTGTCTGTCTGTGTGTGCCCTGTATGCTAGTACCTATTGACTTCTTCGGTGTGCCTTCTGAAGTGATAGGGACACAGAGCCTGGTGGTGTGCAGCAGCTCGAGATAAATGCTTCTAAGTCACTTGTGAAGTTTATTAAAATGGAGATTTCTGAACTATCCCATGGGGACTGGCTTCAGAGTAGGTAAGGCCAGAAAGACAGCTGAGTGGCATGAACGCCGCCTGGCAAGCACAAGGTTCCAAGTTCAATCCCTGGTACCACTGGGGCTGGGGAGATGGCTTAGTAGAATAAGCACTTGCCTGGCAAGCACAGGGTCCTGAGTTCAATCCCCGGTATCACACACACACACAAAAATCCTGGTGGGGCGGGGGGAGTCTGGATGAGTCCCAGAGAGCTATATTTTTGACACTTTAGTTAAAACCCAAAAATCAGTCCACAAAATTTTTTAAAATGAAAAATGGCATGGAAAAAACATAGTAAAGATACTTTTTCTTGAAACTTTACATTTGAGAAGCAAATACACATTTTTATGGTTTTCAAAGTTTGAAAGCCTTTCCTGTAGGAGAAATTAAATACTACAGAGAAAAACAAGATTTGACATTGGTGCCTCCCATTTTGTTCTCCACTTACTACAATTTTATCCGTAGTGGGTTCCAGAGAATTTTGCGCCTGAGAATATGTTGCTTATTTGGTGGATGGAGGATTCAACCCAAGGTCTCATGCATGTTAGGCAAGTGCTCTGCCACTGAGCCAGATTCCCAGCTCTTTTAAAACTGTTTGGTTGTCCTACTGACCTTGAGCTTGTAACCTTCCTGTCTGTGCCTCTTGAGTAGCTAAGATTACAGTGATGTGCCACCACAACCTATGGAACACATGGTTTTCATTCTATCATAATAGCATCCCAAAGTTAGATTGTGGAGGAATATTTGAAACTTCTTTGAGTTTTGTTCCCCCAACCTTCTTCAAGAGTTGCTGTGGGGATAAAAGCAAATATCGGATTGTTTTTTGGGCCAAGCATGAGGTGTTTATGTTACCCACAATGTAAAGATCCTTAAGTGCCAAGGGTCCTACAACTAGTAAATAGAGCTGTGAACCACAGTTCTTTAGGTCTTTGTAGCTGGAAGCCATAAGACATTTGGCTGTTAGTTCTGTGCCAGACATGAAGTAGGAAATCCGGGCTGCCTTAGTCACCAAAGAGCCTCTTTTCATTTGTAGACCGTTTAGTAAGCATATGACAGGTCAAGCATTCTAGTTTCTGGGAAGCTAATAAGCAGATGGGTATGAAGAAGAAAGTTGAGCCGATCTGGTCACTGGAGCACTGGCCACCCTGCCTCTGCTCCCCTCTGTTCTAACACTTCACCTTGAGTTTGAGATGTGGACAGCTTGCTGTAAAATGCTGGAGTCAGTATCGACAATATATAGATATATAGGTTTCCACATATTTTATGAAAAAAATTCAAAGTATAGTAATTTGAGCAGTTTTCTTTTTTTCCTTCTAATGTCGATCTACTTGTTAGAAGGATATATGTAGTTTGAGGGAGTTTGTACTTTGCTTAATTGGAGTTCAGTGTGAGGAAATAGTTTACTACCATGAAAATTTATTGCGAGTGTGTATGTTAGGTGATATGTATTTCATCTTTGAAAGTGTCTCTTCTGACAAGTACTGCCACATACTAGTATTGAGCCATAAGCATATGTTTAAGCATCTGAAAA